AATTGAGAACTGCTTAGAAACAGTAGGCATTTGAACTTGCCATCTTAAACAGAGTCCACATTTTAGTGTGTGGCTGGTTATTGGAGGTTATTTGGGTTTTTATTGACTTGTTTTAAAAAATTTTAGTAGTTTACTACCTTATTGTCAGAATATGAATTTTAAGTAAGCCAGTAAAGAGTAGATTTTTTCCACTGCACATTAAGATAATAACAGTTAAAAGTTAAAATGTTTCTTTTAGTGTTAAGATGTTTATTTACTTAAATGACTAACTTGCATTTTTGTTCAGTTTTCTACATAAAACTGAGTGAAAGATAACAGAACTTGAAAGATGGGCAAAGACATATTAACTTTCTTGATGTAATATTAATACATGAATAAGTAGTATGCAGATTAACTAGGTTTGGGATACTGGTCACTTTTTTTTTTTTAATATAGCTTCCAAATTTTTGTAGAATTGGTGCTAAACATCTTAGGTAAAAATAGAAAAACTGGCCCTCCCTGGTGGCGCAGTGGGTTAAAGCACAGCACTGAGAATCTAAAGCCGCTTCCGCATGAGTTCAATTCCTGCCTGCCCCAGAGGTGACCACATGGCGTGGCAGACCTCTCCTGACCCGCCCGCTGCTCCCCTCAGCAGTGTACTTCGTCGATCTGCCTGTTCTGCTCCCCACTCTGTCTCTGGTGAAGCCTCTCGCCGCCCCTGAGCCTCTGGCCTGTACCCCAGTTCTGTATGCACAAATAAATAAATCTTTAAAAAAAAAATAGAAAAACTGCTTATTTATATATGGGCATACTTTTGAGTCCCTAAATTAAAAAGTCACCTTCAAATAAATTTGTCTATTTGTCTGGAAAAAAAGACAAACCTATTATGCAGTTGTGGGGGGTGGTGGGGATGGGAGCTGTATAAAGTGGTAAATGGAGATTCTACTTTACTTCTTTTAGGGCAGGGTACAGAAGCAAGTGTAAATAAGCAGTGTAAATTACAGTTCCAGAATGACTTTGGAATATTGAATTTTGTGTATTTTTTTTAGTTGCCTTAAAGCTGTATTTTTGGTCTTTGCTATCTGTTTCATTAATTTTTTTCTGTTGAGTACATAAGGGATATTGGTCATTTTGTATAAGAAAACGCAATTAAATTTTTATTCCTTGAGCAATAGGAGACAGGGACAATTCCCAATCTTGTTTTTAAGATACCTAATTGGATGACACGTTAAGAGGTGCAGGAATCTTTATAGATTATAGTTAGAAAAATTTAAGTTTCATGAGGTGTGAATTTCTGGACTAGTATTTTTTCTTTTTTATAAATACAGTATTTGACCTATGCATTTCTAGTGAGAACTGGAACTTGGGGCCAGATAGAGGAGGTAAAGAGGAGGAAGGGGTTAGAGAGGAAGCAGTTACTTCTTTACCCACAGGTTAACTGATAACAAGTAGCACAGCGATACTGAGTGTACAGGTATTTGCCTTCTGTTAATTTCCCAAAGGTAAACCTTGAACTAGTGAAAGAAACAAAAGTCAGGAAACCTTTTTCCAACACTGGAGCTAGTCTTTCTGATTTTTCCATAGTAACTAAATATTGAACAACCCTGGTTCTTAAATGACATTGTTTGGGTTTTAATTCAGTTAGTGTCTAGTGACTTGAATACCTAGATTTTCTATCATTTAAAAAAATTAAAAAAAAAATTTTATCCTTTTTTAAAAAGATCTATTTATTTATGCATACAGAACTGGGGTACAGGCCAGAGTATGTATAGGGGTGGTGAGAGGATTTAGCTGAGACAGAGTGGGGTGCAGAACAGGCAGATTGACAAAGTACACTGCTGAGGGGAGCAGCCGGTGTGACAGGAGAGGTCTGCCGCACCATGTGGGTCAGCTCCCTGGCTGGGATTGTACTTGTGCTAACGGGGCTCTGGCTCGTTCACAGTGCTAAACTTTAATCAGGGAGGGCCCTACATCTTCAGTTCTTAATTTCTGTAGTAAAGTGATTGCCTACCTTGTGATTTTTCTTGGAGGACTTGGGGTTAGAAAATAACATTGGGAGTTACTAAGAGAAATTCCTTATAAATTTGTAAATGATTTAATATATGAGTTAGTAGTATGAAGTAAAATGAATGTGCTCAACATAGAAATAATTATACAGAACAAGTTATAACATAAAAACAACCTTTACATTCTTTCTTAAAATCATCTAGTTTCCCCTGTTTTGCAGATTGTTTTTTTCTGGTGACAGACATCATATATGAATTATGCTTTCCCCTTGTCCTACTTTTTTGTGTAAGGATTAAGTTTAATAAGAAATTACTTAAAAGTTAGAGATTAAATTTGCTAAAGTTGGTTTGATGATAGTATTCTTATTTTGAGGACACATGGTCAGCGTATCCTTTTGCCTAGTTGAGATATGAAAAGTAATAAGATACATTGAAGTGCAACTAAATCTTTAAAGTGTAATCGCAAAATTACTTTACTTTTTACTACTCACATTTTTTGGTTCACATTTAGAAAAGTATTTTATCACCATTTCAGCCACTTAAATGAAAATCACAATTGTGTTGTTCATTAACCAGCTATTTGAAATTATGTATCACAGAACCTCTTTTGAAGAATATACTTGAAACTTCTCTAGCACTGGGAGAAAAACACACTATTCTTTCACACATTTACACACATACTCACGTGTGTGGATTGGTGAAAGTATTAGCGGCTCAAGACATTTAGCAGCAGTGAAAGGCTTTTTTGATATAGAAATATGATTATAACATGACATTTAGTGGACGAAGTCTGACAGCTACTGGATTTAGTTTTTCAAGGCAAAGTAGGTTATTTGGCATAGGAAATGATAATATTTTAGCTGCTTATCTATGTCTTACAGCTGCCAGAGAAATGTAGTAAACTAATGGTGAATTTGTGTGTGGATCTCTGAAAACTCGAGTTAGGTGATTCCAAAAGAGATAGAAAAGACAAATAGCATACTTAAAAAGAAAAATGGCCTTGTTTTGTGATCTCACTGAATTAGGCCACTGATTCAGGTTTATATTTACTGTTTCTCTTGTGTTTTCAAAGCTTGGCTGTACTAAGTAGGGGAAACATTCTTTGATAGTGTTTAGCCCTGTGAGGATACTACAGTTGATACTAAATTACAGCTCCGTGAAGGTTGGTCCTTAACTTTTTTCCTTGCAGCATCCTGGTATCTAGGATGGTGCCTGTCCTCTCAAAATATTTGTCAGATCAATCTCTACCAGAATGAACTTAATTTAGGTGACTACAGACATGCTCTTTGAACATTCCTTGTTTCTATTTTCATTTATAGTTGACTTTAGTAGCAAAGGTTTTAGAAAACCTGAGATCTGAGCTCCTGTTCAGGGAATGAGACCAGGCCACAGTAGATTTACTTAGTGACAAATGTGTGGGTTTTGGTTAATGCTAGTGATGAAATCATCTCCCCATCATGAAATAATCCTTCCTAACATATGCGACAGAATTCTAGTTTGGGAACATCATTCATCATATAACTGAAATTATTAGGCATAAATAAACATTATGAAACTGAATGACTCACCCAAATAGTGAGTATTGTAGAGCCATTTAGACATTTTTTGACATCTCTGAACTGTTTTATATTGTCTCTACACTCATGTCTTACTGTGCACCCGTTTAACATCTGTTTAATATGCAGTGCATGTGCATGAAAGCTTTCACATACAGTGAAAATAAGAGGTTTTAAAAATATTTAATGTTTTCCTCCTAAAGGTTTTGAATTCTAAATTATCTTGCATTTTAAGGTGAGACTATGTAAAAAAACACTCCATTATTCTTTTGAAGTTAGAATATACCCTAGCCAAAAATGTGTAGCTTTAAAGACCTCCCTGCCTTGCCCTTTACCAGCAAGCCTCACCTGAGTGAATTTGGCTTAGTTTTTGTAGTTTGGGTTCTTTTATTATATAAGTGTAACAAATGGTTCCTTACCTTTATTGAAACTGCTGTGATACGTAATAGATGATCCCATAAACTATTCCATATCGGTGTAAACTATTCCATATAAGCGTACCTTCCTGCCTCAGACCCTCAATGTCCTGACTTTTAGTCATCACCTCTTCATCTTCCAAATGCTCTCCAGTTCTCTCCAGTATGGCTGTATATCTGATAATGTAGCATTTAATATTCAAGTATATTGATTTTTACTTTCTTTAGGGTTTTCTCAAGGAATAAAATATTGTCTTCCTGTCTATAGTATTGCATGTAATTGTAAAAATTTGTCTCTTATTTCAGATAACTTCAGAAAGTCTTCCTTTTTGTTTTTAAATTCCTTTCTCTCCCCTCCTCCCACCACCATGGATAACTATAGTTAATTCCAGCCATACCCTCTACCTGACAGTTTGTTCATTGGTGTTTATTATGTTTAAGAATCCCTTTTTATTGGACATTTTAAGTAATTGCTTAGATTTTTGTACCTCTTCAATATATGAATGTTCAAGATAACCAGCGATCCCGAGATTAGCAGTTTCTGTTCCCACCATGCTGAAGGCTGTTACGAGCCTCTACAAAATGTGAAGAGGCTCCCAGCAACCACCATGAGAAAGGAAAGGTTCAGAGGCTTTGCAAGATCCTTTGGCAGAAACTAGTTCTAAAGCACTATTTAAACTATAAGCCTAAGTCTAGATTTTATGTGACTTTTTTTTTTAAGTATTTATTCTGGTAATGTCAAAGGTTCAGTTAAGAAATCTTCAGAAGTCATGTTTGACTGAATAACAAGAACATTTATAGGTTTCTGGAAAGTTCTGTGTGCAATTTTGTAGTTTCTAAAGTCATGCTGAGTCCTGATTGGGTCCATTATGTACAATTCAGCATTGTTAAATGTGTGGTTGACTAAATAATCTACACTATAACAATTTTAAAAAGTATTATGGCATTCTGATTTGTAGAGAAACTTGTGTGGTAAGATCAAAGTGACTTAACTTATTTTTAGGATATTTGTCATTGTAAAACTACTGGTTTTTCTTTTGCAGATTTTCTTGTGAAACTTTGTGATAGAAAATTTTCTTGGAACAAATTTCATTTGGTAAGCTTGCATTACTCCCCTCCCCTACATAATTGCTCTTTCTGTGCTATTTTGAGGAAACAGAAAGTAATTTAGAGATTAATTTGGGGTGTCTGTTGGTATACTTAATTATTTAGATGAGTTATTATATGTTTTCTTTGTCTGTAAATGTGGTGCGGTTTTTTTTTCCCCAGTAGGATTCAAACCAGCTTACTTTTGCATATGTAATTCCTTATACTATAATATAGTACATGGTATCTGAAAACTTGCACTTGAGGCTAAGTATGTTGTAGCCTAAATCTTTTTTTTTTTTTTAAGATTTATTTATGCATACAGAATGGGGTATAGGACAGAGGTGAAGGGGTGGTGAGAGGACTCACCAGAGACAGAGTGGGGAGCACAACAGGAAAATCTACTGAGATAACACTGCTGAGGGGAGCAGCAGGCAAGACAGGACAGGTATGCTGCATCAGGTGGGTTAGCTCCCTGAACGGGGACTGAACTCATGATGCGGTAACTGCCAATAGCTTGATGGTGCCGAGACTTTAATCCCTGTTCCACCAGGGAGGCCCCAAATGTGCATTTTTTTGGTTGTCATTCTTGTGCACTTGGTGTTCTTGGCCACCCATGTCATCTCAGTAGTTCAGAAGCTTGATGTGTTACAGGATAGGGAGAGGGGCACCTCAGAACCCTTAAACCTGCCTGCTCTAATTAGGTTCTGCCATTTGCTGCATCAAGATAAAACATATAAAATCTTTAATGGAAAGGAACTTTAATTAGTGTGCAATATGGAAAAGACAATATAATTTCCACATCAAGCACCCAAAGTTACCCATCCTTTTGTGGGTAAAAGTCCACCCAAACAGGCTTGGCTGAAAGCAGGGACTCTGAGGTGCCAGAAGTCTAAGGTGCCTTCTGTCAAGGACCCACAGAAAAGGGTCAGAAACAGTCAGACAAGTTTGGTAGGAAAAGAGCAAAATCAAAATCAAAATAAAAGCTGCCATTATTAACCTCCCATGGGTCTCTCACCCACGTCTATTTCAACCAGTCCAGGACCCAAAAAACATGTTCACCTGTCTCTCTGCTCCATGTGCCTCCCTCAGGTCTCCTTCTTGCTCTCCATCCTGCTTCCTTTCTTCTCCAGTCTCCTCTCCAGCTTCTTCTCATCCCTGCTTAGCTCTACCCTCCCTTGGGAGGGAAACCTGAAACGTCCTCTTTTCCAGGTACCACCCTATTACAGATGGTTCATTATTAATAGCTTGAGTGTTCCTCAAAAGCTTTTTTTGAGTGGCCAGATAAGAATACATCTGTCTTTTTGTATCCTCATTTAATTATATTTCTGTATCTTATCATACCCTGCCTTTTTATCTATTGGAGTGTGAATATCTTTTAGTTAAGATCATATTTAAATTTTCAGTTCACACATACATTTCCTGAGTTTTAAGAGTATCATCTCATTGTAATTTTAATTAGAATTTTTGTTTTTGGGGTGTGTACATACGTGTGTGTAGGTACATTTGGGTAAGAATAAGTGGGAAGAATAGATTATGTGCTTTTGGGATTACCATTACCTTATTGATTCAGGGTACTTTGTTTTCCCCTCCTACAGAGTAAGATTATATAATATATCTAATCTGTCATTGTATTCCATTGTATCTCAGGTGGTTGAGTAATTTGTTTGCAAGTATAAATTTTTAGTTACTGAGTTTAAGAAATTGAGCAATTCCTTCTTAACAGGTGAGATGCCATCTTCATTAGTAAGATTTAATGATGCATCATAGACTGTGGCACCTCAGTGACCCTGATTTGGGCCAAGCCTGTTTGGTAAAAATTTCTTGTAGTTATGTTGGTAAGATTTCTTCTAAATTCCAATCTGGGGATTGGGGTAGAATGGGAGAGTGGTAATGATGATCAAACCCAGAGAAGCCTGAAGATTCCAGCTCTCAAATTCTCATCCATATATTAAAAAAATGAAACCATTTGTCTCTGATGCTTAGAAATACTATAAACATCTCATATTCTTTGATTTGGCCCATTGTACACTTTTAGAATAGAAAGATAATCCAAACATATTACTAGTCTCTGCAGTGTTTAATTTTTAATTTACATTGCCATGATAATGTTTATTGATTTTTAACTTTATAATCATTATTAACTTTAGATAAAGTATGAAAGGCAGTTAAAAAAACAGTTTTATATGCTTTTTAAAAAAAGATATAATTTACATGTAATTATTGACATTCTATTGTCAGGTATACAACATAATGTGTGTGTATATACTATATATATATGTTACATATATTTTATAAATCTGACTTATGTCCATTACAATTCCATACTTTTTTTTTTTTTATGATGAACACTTAAGATCTCGGAGCAACTTTAAAGTCTTCAATACACGATTATTACCTGTAATACTCTATATTACTTCCCCATGATTTAAAAACTTTTATAGCTGGGAGTTTTTAAACCCCTTTCTCCCATTTTGCCTGCCCCCGCCTTACCCCCATTCCCTATCGCTATATAAGAATTGGAGTTGCAGGCCCTCCCTGGTGGCGCAGTGGGTTAAAGTACAGCACTGAGAATCTAAAGCCACTTCTGCATGAGTTCGATTCCCGCCTGCCCCAGAGGTGACCACATGGCGTGGCAGACCTCTCCTGACCCGCTCGCTGCTCCCCTCAGCAGTGTATTTCGTCGATCTGCCTGTTCTGCTCCCCACTCTGTCTCTGGTGAAGCCTCTCACTGCCCCTGAGCCTCTGGCCTGTACCCCAGTTCTGTATGCACAAAATAAAATAAATCTTTAAAAAAAAAAAAAGAATTGGAGTTGCAGAAATAGGGACTAGTTCAGAGATTGGGCAAAGATGATTATTGTGACTTTTTACAATAACAAAAAATACCCAAATATCTCAGCACAATTGATGGTCCAGTTATGATTATATTTGAGTACAATGGAATATTGAACTGCCTTCTGAAAGTGTATACCAACAAGGAAAGATTTGATACATTAATTGAAGCAAAACTTGTAGAACAATAAATATAGGAACACTCCCCCCCCCTTTTTAAAAACAGATTATGTGTATTTACATATGTATATAAAGAAGTTTTTGGATAGAATTGTTAAAATAGTTAACAATAGTTGTACTTATATTTAGGCGAAATAAAGGTTGTCAGAGTGAAAAAGGGAACTTAAACTTATTTACTTTAAAAACAACAGATTTGAGACGTAATCCTTGTATTTCACATTTAACTCACTTAAAGTCTACTTTCCAGTGACTTAGAATACTCACATAACCATCAACACAGTTTCAGAACCTTTTATCACTCCAGGTTTATAACTTATAACCTTTTATAACTCCAGGTTTTTGTTGAAATAACACCCTGAATAGATATAGCCACTGACTTGGAGCAGCACTGGAACCTGGGAATAGAAGATTCAGAAGTGAATCTCCTCTTCATACGCCCCTCCTGATTCCCCAAATCACTTAAAAAGCATTAGTTAATCGGACTTTGCTAAGTGAGTTTTTTTTTTTTTAAATCTCCAGCTACATTTTTCAAGTTTGCGAGAAATCTTATCATTAAAGACAATGGCTAGCAGTGTTAAAAGAAGACAGATCCTTGCTCCATAAACTCCCGTGTGTTGATTGGGAATCTAATAATCTGGTCAGTAAGTCTTCTTGAAATACGGCATAATTGTGGATTGCTTTGTTCATCGGGGCTTTGCCTTCCTTCAGTGTGTTAATGAGAGAAATTCCCATTGCTGTGGCAGGAGGAGGATGGCAGAATGATTGCTGACTAGGTTTTAGATATCAAAATGGCTGCAGAGCCAAAAGTGAACCCAGGAAAAGCAGGGTGAAACAGTCTGCAGTGGAGTGTATGCCTCCTCTTTTGACTGGGACTGTGACTTTCAACAGGATTATTATGACAGGATGTACAGTTATAACAGGATGTAGCATGTTTTCCTCTTTTTATTGCTTGGGCTGTAGTGTCCTTGTTATTAGGAAAAATATCAAGAAGGGGCAGAAATGGCTTCTGTGCTAAGAATGGACAGCAAGGTTCTGTGCTAAGAATGGACAGCAAGGTTCTCTTTCCAAATCTGGAAAGTTGAAAGGAGGTGACCTTCAGGCCATTAAGGAGTTGTTGACCCAGATAAAACAGAAAGTGTATTCTCTGCTGGGAAGTCTGCAAAAAAAATTGAGAAGAAACAGAGCAAAGAAGGATCTGGAGTTGATCAAGGATGATGAAAAAGAGGCCGAGGAAGGAGAGATAACATGCCAATGGCGAGAGTGGCACTTCAGCTCATAGTGGGTTTAGAAATCATATCCCATTGTTTCTTTACATGAGGGCTTGACTAAAATAAAAAATTTCACCAAATTTTCCTGTCAGTTCATGTGCACTGTTCTCTCCTTTATTATTCTTCCCATCAGTGCTCTGCAGCTAATCCTTCCTTGTAGTTATGTTAGCTTCACCCTGTAATTTTTGATAACTGTTCGTGACCTAACAGTAGAAAGGATGTATGGATTGTTATCAGTAGTCTGCAGAATAATCTCTTGTTATACAGAAAATACATTTCTTTTCATTCATACTTGAGTTCACTAGTTGTTTTCCTAACTGCAAAGGGAGTCTTACTAGTTGAGTAGCACCTGAGAGCAGCACTGAATGAGATACTTGTGTTATACTCCACAGAAGTATGTTATGTAAGGCTCATTAACACAAATGTAATAGTGTATTTTTGTGACTGAGAGTTGACATCCTGTAGAAAATTAGTTTAATAGTTTTAAGATTTGTTTTCTAAAGTTGATTCTGTGGGTTATTTTTGTGAATAGCCTGATGTGTTTTTTTCTTCTCAAAATAAACAAGTCCTTATTAAATCAGGAATTTGCATCCCCCCCACAAAAAACCCACAAAAACTCCTAACCCTTCAAGCTATCACCCTAGTTGTAATGTGGTTTAGTTTCTAATTCCATGGATTGGTGTGTACATTTCAGTTGGAATAGTTAAATCTGTGATATCTGTGAGAATTTTTTCTTAAACTTTACTAAAAAAATTCTTAAATGATAATGCACATTGGTAAATTTACTGTATCAGCTAAAACTTACCCCCTCTTTACATTGATTCCTCAATAATTGGGGTTTATAAGATAGAGGAAGGCTCATTCTGTTAAACTGTTCAATGAAAATTTTGAACATATTAAGGTAGAGAAAGTAGTTTAATAAATCCCCAATTCTTATCTCAAAGTATTCAATTCATGGCCCATTTTCATTCTGCCGACTCTTTTGTAGTGAAGTGCTAACTTCTCTTCGTATTTCAGTTAATAACCGTAACCACAAACACAAAAACCCAACCATAACTTTACCTTTACAGTAAATCAATAATCCTTTAATATCATCATCTATTTAGTACATGGTTAGATTTCCCTAAATGTTTCAGTTTATTTTTATACTTTGAATCAACATCTAATAAATGAAGTCCCACATGTTATAGTTGGTTCACATTTAAGTTGGTTACTTTAAGTCTTTTTTAAATATATAGATTTCCTTTCATCTCTTTTTTTCTTGCAGTTTATTTAAAGGATTTATTTTCCTGTAATTTTCTATAGACTAGATCAGTTTTTGCATCCTTTATTTTGTTAGCAGTTATAAAGTGGTGCTACTTATTTCTGTCTTTGTATTTTAAAAGGGATACTCTATCATCCAAACTTCATTTTTTAGGAAAAGATGAGATAAATACTAATTCTTTTCCCTCATCAGTTTTCAAAAATAAGAGGTTGACTATGTAACATTTTCCTGTGGTGACCAGAGAAAGATAAGAATTTTCATTTAAAAAAACATCAAAACTCCCTTCAAGGTACTTACAATTTCTGTTTAAATTATTCCATTTTGGGGCAGTGAGTGTCTTTTAAATTGTATTCTGAGTTCTTTTGACATACTATCAATAGTATTTCGTTGTTTTCTTGCTTTCCAGTTTATAATAATCAACCTATTATATACTTTGTTTTAGACTTGGCACTTTCTCTTTGAAGAGAATTAGTCTTTATTATCCATTGTCTAGATGCTTAGAATATTCATTCCTTCTGTCCTTCATTTATTCAGTCACTTAATTTTTTGCAGTAAGATTTTACTAGTTTTAGTACTTAATACTTTTAGTATTTCATGAAGAACTTGATTATATTCATACTCTTCACCTACATTATTTTATTGATTTATAATTAATATCACGTAAAACCCACTTTTAAGTCTATGCAGTTAGGGTTTTTTTTTAAGTGTGTTTATATACATATGTGTATATGCATATATTCATAGTGTGTAAAACATCGATGATAATATAATTCTAGAACATTTCCATTTCCTCCCCTGTCTCCATAAATAATCACTCCCTATACCTTTTTTACATGGTATGAATATTCCATATAAATGGTACTGTATAGTATGTGGCCTTTTCCCCCTGGCTTCTTCAACTTAATATTTTCAGGGTTCATCCAGATCATATTATGTATCGAAATCTCATTGTTTCATGTTTCTGAATAATACTCCTTTGTGTGGATACCACACTTTGCTTATTTACTCATTAATTGTTGTACATTGGGTTGTTTCTCTTTTTGCTTTTGTAAGTAATACTCCTGTGAACATTCACGTGCAAGTTTTTGTGTGGCATATGTTTATACCTGGGAGTGAAATTGATGGGTTAGATGGTGATTCTATATAATAAAAGATTGCCAAACTGTTTTCCACAGCGATTGCACCAACTTACATACAGCAGTGTATTAGGGTTTCAAGTTCTGTATTCCCCCTGCATTTTTGACATTATTATTTTTATCACTAGAGTTGTATTTTGAGTTACCGGCTTATAAAACATCAAATTCACTTCTGTTTAAATTAATAGTTTGTAGGTATGGTTTTGTTATTGAAATTTCAATTCTAAAACATAAATACCTTTACAGAACATTAGAACAGTTTTTTTTTAAAATTAAACTTTATTTTCTTACATCATGTTCATTTTTGTACAATATTTGATTTCTCCCCTCAGGTGTAGTCCCTGTAAACCGCCTACCACATCACCTGTGAACCATCACCATAGCCCCATCTGCTTTTTCCTTTCCTGTTTTGACCTTCTCCCTTTTCCTTCTCCTTCTGTATGCCTCAGCTCTATAGTTTGTCCTCAAGTGTTGTCTTTTTTCCTGACCCTTTGTTTGGCTTCCCTATATTCCCCCTATAAGCTGAAGCCATCTGATACTTTTTCTTTTCCTTCTACTTATTTCACTGAGCAAATCCTTTCCAGCTCCAGCAAAGGAGCTGTGGATGGCATGCTTTTTGTCTTTTTTGATTGCTGAGTAGTATTCCAGTATGCTTTTATCACATATTGATCCATTCATCTGTTTGGGGCATTTAGGTTGTTTCATACCTTAGTTGTTTTAAGTAGTTCTGCAGTAAATATAGTTCAGGTTTCCCTTCAAATTAATGTTTTTGTGTCCTTTGAGTAGACTTTTAGGAGTGGTATTCTGGTCAGATGGAAGATCCATTTTAGCAATTTGAGGATCCTTTGTACAACTTGGACCAGTTTGCATTGTATTCCCACTGGCAATGTAAGAGGGTTCCTTTTTCTCCAGATCCATGCCAGCATTTGCTATTTCCAGTTGTGTGTGTGTGTTTTTTTTTTTTTTAATATGGGCCATTGTGAGGTGGTATCTCATTGTGGTTTTGATTTGCATGTCCCTGCTTATAAGTCATGCTGAGAATTTTTCATATACCTACTGGCTTATTTGCATTTCCTTTTTGGAGAAGAATCTTTTTAGCTTGTCTGCCCATTTTTTAGACTAGGTTGTTTTTGCTGAGTTGTGTAAGCTTTTTGTAGATCTTTGACATTAGTCCCTTATCAGTTGTATGGAGTGCAAATGTTTTCTCCCAGTCTGTAGGTTATCTTCATTTTGGTTATTATCTCTTTTGCTTATAGAATCTTTGTAGATTCTAGTCCCAACTGTTTCTCTTTTCCTTCATTTTATTTGCCTTTAGGATGGAAAGATGTTTCTGAGATGTGTGTCACGGAGTGTTTTGCTTTATGATTTCTTCTGTATATTTTATGGTTTTAAGTTTTACATTCAAGTCTTTTACCCATTTTCAATTGATTTTTGTGTGTAATTTGATGTGGTCTAGTTTCAGACTTTGACTTATCATATTCTAGTTTCCCCAACATTTATTGAAGAGACTGTGTTCCATTGTATATTCTTTGTTCCTTTGTCATAGATTAGTTGACCACATACATGTGGCTTTATTTCTCAGTTTTCAGTTCAGTTCTATTGGTCTGTCTTTGTTCCTGTACCATGCTGTTTTGATTACTTGGATTTTGTAGTATAGTTAAGTCTGGGAGTATAATACTTCCATTCTTCCTCCTTTTAGTCATAAAAACTTTGCCATTTGAGGGGTTTTTGGTGATTGTACTTGCATTTCAACAATATTTATTCTGTTTTTTGAATACTACCAATGAGATTTTTATTGGAATTGAATTGAATCTAAATTACTTTTGATATAGGATGGTCATTTTGATATTGTATTGCCTCACTTACATTGTTTATTTAAGAATTTACTTTGAATAGTATTCTCAGACACCATAAGATATCCTATTTTATGGTAGTTTAGCAAACCAAAAATGGCAGGCTTTGAGTGAAATTGATGCCAATTTTATCTTTTAAAAGGAACTATTCTTTTTAATGTTCCAGGTATAAAGAAAAGGACCTGCCAGACACTGACGAAAGGACGGGGATCTCTTCTCCAAATCTGGGCCTCCTGTCATGGTAAGTACAAAGATATAAGAAAATTAGATTTGAATTCTGTCTTGACAAGTTAATACTAAGTGTCTCTTTTTAGTGAGGTGATAAGCAGAATCAAAACCAAAATATAGGGTTCTTGGACTCCAGTTTCTCATTCCTTCCTAGGAAGCAAAAATGTAGTGAAAACT